CCCAACTATGCTGTAAATCATGGAAAGTAGAGGTGGAACCAGTTCTGTTTTGCTAAGTACTGACTGGCACATGAAGAACTTTGAAGTTCAAAAAGAATTTGAATCGGTAGAGGCCAGAGAGAGTATTCCAGATGGGAAAAAATACCAGCAAATTTAAAGACAGTAATGGTGGTATAAGGATTTTGTTCATAGTTGCTAAGTCTTGCTCATGAGAGTCTTACATGCACTTACATGCACACACACACTGAGGCAGGAGATAAATGGGCCCCAGGCTAGGCATTTACAACTGACTTCCTGTTTACATTTCTTGAGGGAAGAAAAAGATGGGCATCAGGCCAGACACTTAAAACTAGCCTCCTGTTTGCATTCCCTGAAACAGGGGATATGTGGGTTCCAGGTTACGTATTTACAAAGATCCTCCTAGGAGTTTTCTCTCCAAAATGGAAGTAACAACTGAAACAGAGTAAAGAGCCAGGCTTCGTCTCCTGTTGACACCTTAAGACGACACTCATGGCAGGAACAGAGAAGGGCTAAACCTTGTCTGAGTAAAGGATTAGGAGGTCATATACTTCCCATCCTTGAGGCAAGGGAGACCTTACACATGTGCACAAAGTCTCCTTGGGGATCAAAAAGAAAGGGGCACCACCTCATAATATATGATACTTATGTGATATGTGATACATATGATATATGTGATCCCACAGGCCTCTGGGCTGGAATCCATCTTAGAAAAAAGTTGTGCACACATGTTGGGGAAGGTCCCAGGTTAGATCAGGTGTGGAAAAAGAGAACAGATAGTTGGTTAAAGATAAACAAAGACCCAGAAAAACTGTCCTATATAAATGACTTAAATGCTTCTTTAAGGTACTTCTCATCAGGGGAGGACGAGTGTGCATCTCTCCCTTGCTTCTGTCTTAACTAAACAAACGGTTTCTCTGTGTGCTCCCCTTATGTGCTATGTCTCTAACAATATGTTCCGTACTTGCATTCACAGTTTTTGCTTCTTTGAGAAATGCATCTTTCAATGGGGGCAAAGATCCAGGGAAAATGGCTCCTAGTCTCTAGCCCTTGCTGGGCTGGTGGCTAGGATTCCTGGTTTTCTTCCAAGTTACCCAGGTTCAATTCCTGGGCAAGGAATTAAGATCTTGCTTCATGATGTTAAATCACTGCTGCCTCTCCAAGATCAGTACCAGTAAATCTTTTCACCTCACTTTGGGACTTGAACACATGTGCTGGGACTCAAACCCAGCCAAAACCCTGCATGGGACTAGAACCCACAGTCGTTAAATTAGAATCACTAACCTGGTGTCTGGGCTTTTCTGGTGTCTCAGATGGTAAAGAATCCACCTGCAATGTGGGAGACCTGGGTTTGATCCCTGGGTTGGGAAGATCCCCTGGAGGAGGGCATGGCAACCCACTCCAGTATTCTTGCCCAGAGAATCCCCATGGACAGCGGAGCCTGATGGGCTACAGTCCATGGGTTGTGAAGAGTCAGACACAACTGAGCAACTGAGCAACACCTAGTGTCTGAACTTACTGAGGCTCAGGATCTTTGTGTCTCAGTGCAGAAGGGATTTAGAGAGAGGCAGAGTGATAGGCAAGAAGTAGATTTATTAATATAGGACACTTGTAAGAGATGCAAGCAGATAGGTGAGGGAGCTCTGCCCCAAGGATTAAGTGGGCTACAATTTTATAGTCAAAGGAAAGCTGGGGAGGGGAAAAGACAACCATCTTTGAGTAGCATGAGGTTTACATCACTAGTTCCTCCTTCGGGCAGGAGAGTGATCCTACCAGGTCAAACTAGGATTATCATAGTGCTTATTCAAATCAGTAGAAGGGTGGTGACATTTTTCTTCCATCTAATGGCCTGGGGCATATCTTGTGTTTTTATTTACTGTTTTGTAGTTAGTCAAGCCTGCTTCATTCTATGGGATTCCAATAGCTTTCTTGAGTAATCAACTTACAGCGCTCTCCCAAAGATTCCTAGGTTTCTCTTTCTATCTATAGCCCCTTATGGGACTTCTACAACTACTTGTGTAAGCATCCTCTTCCATCTTTATCACCAAGGTATATAAAATGCATTCTGAGGGAAACCGAGGAGGACCACGTGGGGCATTTGTGGGAACAGAACACTTGCTCCTTCCCTGGAGTCCCCTGCCTCTTGTTTGTAGAAAAACTTTAGCCTCTTAGGCCTTCCCTGAATTTCAAAGAGCAAATTTAATCAAAGAAGTGAAAAACTATAAAAGCAAAGGAAAGCAGTCTAGCAAGACAACATAATAATAGTTTAGCCATAAAACAAAGTCGAGTTCCTTCAGTTCCTCCTTACAGACTATAGATATTCTGAGTCATATCTTTGTTTTACAGACCCTAAAAAACCCCACCAGAATAAAGACATTGACTGCATGCTGACCACCAGCATGTAGACCCCAGACCAGTTGGAACCAGAAAACTACAATTAAGATTCCTGAAACATCACCTGTTACCTCACCACTAAGCAAACAGAGAATTGAGCATGAACTGATCACGTGCCCTCACACTGTCTTAAAAAAGCCTCTGATAAAAGTCATGGGGGATTTGGGGTCTTTTTGTTTGTTTCCCTTATTTGGCCCTACAACAAACACAGTACTTTTCTTCACCATAACCAGGGGTCAGTAGGTTGGTTTTGTTGTGTGTTGGGTGAGCAGACTCAAGTTTGGTTCAGTAACATGAGCAGCTGGGTAACTGCTTTGTTGTTTTTGAAGATTTGGGATCAAAATACATGAAACTGTGTTACTGGAAAACTGGGTTCACCTCTTGATGGGTGTTGAGCCAAAAGTCACTAAGCCAGAGGTCCAGAGACAGAAGAATTTATCACTTGCAGCAAGTAAGGAGAACACTAGGGAATTTTCCCAAAGCAGTGTCTCCCCTATCAGCAAAATGGGGAAATTTTAAGCTAAGGGTATATGTATATTCATTCAGCTTGAACTGGGGCAAATGTCACCATATTCCCCAGCTTTAGGTGGTTGAAGTCACAAGGATCAGAAAAGATCAACATAGCATCACTTAGGTTCCAGCTGATCTAGTGGCTGAGTGCTGGGGCTTGAGTAGGGGGAGTGGGAGGGTGTCTAAATTCTGCAAAACAGCTGAAGAAAGTGCCTAATCTTTGAAATAGAACTGGAAGTCTTTACAACTGATTTGTTATCTTTGCTATTGTTACTTTTCTAGTCTGGTAATACTCCCTTGTTCTTTTGTTCCCTTACAATCATCATTACTGAGACTCATTCAAAGGGAAGCATTGTGGTCAGGCTTACAAAATGGATTAGGTCTAAAAGGATTTCTCTAAAAAACACGAATAAAGTATAATGCTGATTAAGTTGCCCCTAACGGATTAAGTTCAGGGAAGCCTAAAATGAAGCTGATAGAAAAGTTAAACAAAATAAAATGGCCCCTCTTATGTCAAATAAGCCATGCTTAGTTTTCTTTATCTGAGGATTCCCCCCAACCCCACCCTATCTGCTTACAACTGTATTTTATATGTTGTTAGCTCATAAACAAGGCACTGTAAAGACTCCATCTCTGGAGTCCTTTCCATTTCTCATGCCATATTCTTGGATAGTCTCCCTTGCCACCCACATCTCAACTATTTTCTACCATGACCAGACAGAACAGCTCACATTCATTTCATTCATCAAATGATCAATATTCATTGAGCCTACCATGTACAGGCTACTGTTCTAGAAGCCCTTGGGATGCCTTAGGGAACAAAACAAAGACCCCTGACTTTAAGAATCTTACATTCTAGCCAGGTTGACAGACACAAACAAAAGCAAATTATAATAGCATTTTAACAGGTACTAAGCGCTTTGGGAGAAAATAAATTGTAGAACTGGGAAAGGGAGAAGAAGCCAAGTTTTCCCATCTGGAATTTTTAAATGAAGGTGTGTAAAACCCATACAAAAAAACACCTCTATGGGTCTTGTCTTTTTGCCTTCTCTTCCGCCCTCTTTGGTGCAGCTGTCTCTTTGCTGCCTGGGATCTGGAGAGTAATGATAATAACTACCATTTACAGTTGGTCCATAAAGAAGGCTGAGCACTGAAGAAATGAGGCTTTCAAGTTGTGGTGCTGGAGAAGATTCTTCAGAGTCCCTTGGACTGCAAGGAGATCAAACCAGGCAATCCTAAAGGAAATCAACCCTGAATATTCATTGGAAGGACTGCTGCTGAAGCTCCAAATACTTTGGCCACCTGATGCGAAGAGCCATCTCATTGGAAAAGACCATGATGCTGGGAAAGACTGAAGGCAAAAGGAGAAGGGGATGATAGACGATGAGATGGTTAGATAGCATCATTGATTCAATGGACATGAATTTGAGCAAACACGGGGAGACACTGGAGGACAGATAAGCCTGGCATGCTACAGTCCATGGGGTCACAAAGAGTTAGAAATGACTTAGCAACGGAACAACAACCACCATTTACAGATATGCAGGTGTATACCAGGCACCTTAACGATTAGTCCATTTAATCTTCTTTACACTGGTAAAGGCAAATATCATCTTTCTCTTTCACACAAAAGGAAACTGAAGCGCCCCCCTGGAAGGGCATCAAGGTTCTTGAGCCCAAAGCATAGATTTAGGCTGACTGGTCCTAGTTATCTAAAGGTCAAAAGAAGGCTGACAAGCACTCTCCCCAGGCTCCTTCAGGCCAACGTGGGTGGGGATACACACCCAGTGCAGCTTAGTGAAGGTGCCAGCGATAAGGACTCGACCTCAGCCAGGAGGCCCTGCGCTGGTTAGGGGGTGGGGCCTGAATGAAAGGGGGCGTGGCCGTAATCCTCCTGTGAAAAGGCCTCCCGAAGTGGTTTGTCCTAAGTTGCGGCCCGTAGAGGCTCCGAGTTGCCGCCCCTCTCCCGGAGTGGTGGAGATTCGATCATGTGACAGTCCAGAGGCAGGAAGTCGGCAGGTTGTGGAAAGCGCAGGGTTTTGACAAAAACAAGCGGCGACTGAGCCATTGCAGGGTCTATGGCAGAGGCAGTGAGGCCCCCACGCCGGGCCAAGGCCAAGGGCAGCCGGACTAAAACCAAGGTGAGAGGAACTCGCGCATCCCCCTCTCCCCAGGCCCTGGCAGTTGCGCGCTGTCTCGGTTTACCTTTCTTCGGCCTCTCCAGCCCACTCTGCCCGTGCCCTGACCCCTCTCATCTTCTGCCCCACCTTCCCATATTTGATCCCTCCGCCCATTGACACCAGACCTATTCCTCTCTTCCTTGTCTACGTCCTCCCGCCAGACTTTGTCAGGAGCCTGTTTTTTCTTTTTCCTCCTGTGATCTCTCTTAGCGCTTGGTTTTCTGCTGCGTTCTTGACTTCCCGCACCTAGGTCTGGATTCCTGTTGGAAAGCAAATTTTGTCTTCCCAGGCTCAGCTTTGACTGACTTTCTCCTTTTTAACCTGTGAACATTTTGAGTCTCTCTCCGCTTAAAGAGAAAAGGGACGGCTCTTCCACGAATGTATCCTCCGGTAGAACTTTACGGTGGGAGACAGAAAGTAGAGTGTAGTGATGTGGCTTTCCAGTTTAAAAATTCAAGATGACAGTGGCGCTGCTGTTGTTTATTTCTCATTATCCTGACTGTTTATGATGGAGCGTGAATGACCAGAAGTGAACTCAGAGAGGGACTCACGCAACAGGGACGGGTTTGAATTTTTGGGTTTCCTGGATTATACTAACGTGTGGTATTAGTGTGGTTTTAAAGTTGATCTTTCTTGTTTTTGGGTGCAGTCTGGGTTTTCATTTTGTTCTCATTTGTTTTCTGAAATGACGTTTGTTTTACAGTAAACAGAATAAATGCTCTGCGAGAATAGCTGGATGTAGATATAATATTGGCTTATCTGAAACTGAATTTATATTAAGGAAATAATGAGAATAGTATTAAAACTACCGGAAATTGCCTTTTCTACTAGTAGGTGATGTCTGCAAGTGCAGGTGTGACTTAAAAATAATACCAAAATAGGAATTTCTTATGAGAACAAGATTTTAACAGGAGACTGGTGTTCAGAGATACCGTATTTAATAAGCTGTAAATGATTTTATGTACATTAGTGTTCTCAGGTCTGTGAGTAGTTATTCTTTGGAGAGAAAGCCATTTTGCTACCTAATTCCAGAAAAATTTTTAAGAGAAATAATTTTGCATTGTATTGAGCCAGTAAAGGGCTATCTAAATGGACAAGGAAGTAAAAGGCCATTCATCAGCCATGCGTACAATCCCTGAACCTAGAATACAGTAATGTATAAGATGTAAACATCAATCTACAAGGAGCTGAATCTTAATTCTCAATCTGTAGTTAATTTTTTTCAGAGTGAATGGTGAAACTAAAGCTTAGATAACTTAAGTGATAAGCCGTAAGACATACAGTTAGTAAGAGAACTCAAGTTAAAACCAGAAATCTTAATTCTCAATCCAGTAGCTTGGTAATTGTTCTACATATCTATATGTATCTGTGAAAGTCGCTCAGTTGTGTCTGACTCTTTGCAACCCCATGGACTTGTAGCCTGCCAGGCTCCTCTGTCCATGGAATTCTCCAGACAGGATAATGGAGTGGGTAGCCATTCCCTTCTCCAGAGGATCTTCCCAACCCAGGGATCGAACCCAGGTCTCCTGCATCGCAGGCAGATACTTTACTGTCTGAATCATCAGGGAAGCCCATGTGTATTTATAGACAGGATGTTATAAATACTTACAAATGATTATTAGGAGAATTCTCTGTCAAGTTCTTTTGTTTAGAACAGGGTTTCTAAAATAAAAGTGAAAAACCAAACTTTTAAATCCATCATGAAAAGTCATTTGCTCGTTTTATATTGGCATATTGTGGGCAACTTCCCTACAAAAGTTGGGCTTCCCTTGTGGCTCAGCTGGTAAAGAATCCGACTGCAATGCGGGAGACCTGGATTTGATCCCTGGATTGGGAAGAGCCCCTGGAGAAGGGAAAGACTACCCACTCCAGTATTCTGGTCTGGAGAATTCTGTGGACTTTATAGTCCATGGGGTTGCAAAGAGTTGGACACTACTGAGCAACTTTCACTTCACTTCCCTACAGAAGAATAAATTTATTTTATTATGTTTTAATGTTTATAAGGAGAACTTCATTCCAGAGGGTTTGACCAAACCAGAAATCCTTGACATGCTTTCACCCACCTTCCAAATCTAGTCAGTCATTGAATCTTGCCAATTACATTTTGTAATTGATCTCTTGATTCTGCCCATTTCTCTCCATCCTAAGTCCACCATCCTTCAAGGATGATTTCTTGGATTTTTGCTAAAATGGCCTTTCCAAATTTATTCTTGCTTCCCATTCTAAATGAAAGTTGGATCAATATTTTTATTAACAGAACCTCAAAATGATCACTACTCTCCTTAAAACCTTTCAAAGATTTTCCATCATCCAGAGGCTAAGCATCCAAAGTCCTTAGTATCGACTCAAGGCCCTGATTGGTCTGAATTCTGTCTTTCTCTTCAGCCTCAGGTCTTCACTACTATCTCTTTTGACTCTCAGTTACACATGTTCTTTCCTGCTTTGGGCTTACCCTGTGGTTCAGCTGGTAAAGAATCTGCCTGCAATGCGGGAGACCTGGGTTTGATCCCTGGGCTGGGAAGATCCCCTGGAGAAGGAAAAGGCCACTCACTCCAGTATTCTGGCCTGGAGGATTCCATGGACTGTGTGGTCCGTGGGGTCACAAAGAGTCGGACACGACTGAGTGACTCTCACTTTTCCTGCTTTAGGGCCTTTGCTCATACTGTTTCCTGTGTCCTAAAACTTCTTCTAGTCCATCTTCACCTGCTCCTTCCTGAAGTCTCTGCTTTCATAGTACTTCCCTCTTCACCCACATAATCCCCCCACCCCAGCAGTGCTTTGCACCTCTTTTTGTCACTTGTCTCACTTGTAGTTACTTTGTTAACATCTCTCTTCTTCCTTAGACTGTGAATTCAATGAGGGAGGGACCTGTCTTTCCCCCAGTACTCTTCACAGCCCTTGTAGGCATTTGATAATGGTTGTTGAATGAAGGAAAAAATACCAGTATTAAAGAATATTATTTCCAAGCTTTGTGGCTCAGAAGAATTTACTCAGGGGAATTTCCTCTATGTAGTGTAAGAAAGCAAATGGGAAAAAGTCCACGATATCAGCAAGGCCCTCATACTTGTCAGTCTAGAAAATGGATTCTTCTTTTAGAGTAAACAGATCTATTTCTTTGTGCTGGTTATGGTTTGGCTATGATCCTGAAGCCCAGCATTAATGAAGTCCTTTACCATTGTGGTATAATTTGGTGACTATTTATGGAACCATATAAAGTCATTCTAAGGGGTGATTCAGGAAGTGAGTAGCGTCATGTGCTTTTGCCTTTAGATAGTTTGAGTGGCTTCTGACCCAGCAGCTGACCTATATTTCTTAATGTTAATCATCTGGAAGGTGACCTCACTTTGTTAGTTTGTGTTAATCTGGTGCTGGTCACTTGGTACGCAAGAGATAGTCCTGACAAGCTTCAGCCTGACTTCACTGATCTTGGTAGGTTGAGAACAGTGGATTTCACTTTTTTATTATTTATGGTTGCACTGGGTCTTTGTTTCTGTGCTCAAGCTTTCTCTAGTTGCAGCAGGCGGGGGCTATTTGTTGACTGCAGTGACTTCTCTTGTGGAGCATGCGCTCCAGGTACACGGGCTGCAGTGGCTGTGCTGGGGCTTAGTTACTCTGCAGCGTCTGGGATCTTCCTGGAGAACCAGGCATCCAGCCCATGTCCCCTGCATTGGCAGGTGGTTTCTTAATCCCTGAACCACCAGGGAAAGTATTTTTAAAGTTAGTATTAATTTCTAAATGCTGACAACTCCTAATAGTAACAGCATTTTTTTTTCATTTATTTTTATTAGCTGGAGGCTAATCACTTTACAATACCGCAGTGGGTCTTGTCATACATTGACATGAATCAGCCATGGATTTACATGTATTTCCCATCCCGATCCCCCCTTCTACCTCCCTCTCTACCCAATCCCTCTGGGTCTTCCCAGTGCACCAGGACCGAGCACTTGTCTCATGCATCCAACCTGGGCTGGTGATCTGTTTCACTATAGATAATATACATGTTTCGATGCTGTTCTCTCGAAACATCCCACCCTCGCCTTCTCCCACAGAGTTCAAAAGTCTGTTCTGTACATCTGTGTCTCGTTTTCTGTTTTGCATATAGGGTTATCATTACCATCTTTCTAAATTCCATATATATGTGTTAGTATGCTGTAATGTTCTTTATCTTTCTGGCTTACTTCACTCCGTATAATGGGCTCCAGTTTCATCCATCTCATTAGAACTGATTCCAATGAATTCTTTTTAATGGCTGAGTAATATTCCATGGTGTATATGTACCACAGCTTCCTCATCCATTCGTCTGCTGATGGGCATCTAGGTTGCTTCCATGTCCTGGCTATGATAAACAGTGCTGCGATGAACATTGGGGTGCGCGTGTCTCTTTCAGATCTGGTTTCCTCAGTGTGTATGCCCAGAAGTGGTATTGCTGGGTCATATGGCAGTTCTATTTCCAGTTTTTTAAGAAATCTCCACACTGTTTTCCATAGTGGCTGTACTAGTTTGCATTCCCACCAACAGTGTAAGAGGGTTCCCTTTTCTCCACACCCTCTCCAGCATTTATTACTTGTAGACTTTTGGATAGCAGCCATCCTGACTGGCGTGTAATGGTACCTCATTGTGGTTTTGATTTGCATTTCTCTGATGATGAGTGATGTTGAGCATCTTTTCATGTGTTTGTTAGCCATCTGTATGTCTTCTTTGGAGAAATGTCTGTTTAGTTCTTTGGCCCATTTTTGGATTGGGTCATTTATTTTTCTGGAATTGAGCTGTAGGAGTTGCTTGTATATTTTTGAGATTAATCCTTTGTCTGGTGCTTCGTTTGCTATTCTTTTCTCCCAATCTGAGGGCTGTCTTTTCACCTTGCTTATACTTTCCTTTGTTGTGCAAAAGCTTTTAAGTTTCATTAGGTCCCATTTGTTTATTTTTGCTTTTATTTCCAATATTCTGGGAGGTGGGTCATA